CGCGGAGCTTTCCCTTTTGTTTTGACTATAAAATCTGCAGTCAACCCTTGGTTAGGGTTTGCAAATTGATCCACTGATGACGTCTTGGATTGCATCTCAATAAACTTCCTTATCATCTTCTCTAAGCTCTTAAATCGATTTTTCATGGAAGAAAACCTATCGTTTATGGAGAAAAATCTCTATCCCGGATTTATGTTGATTCATCTCTTCCTCCAAATTTTCCCTAAATCATCTATTTTTTTTGTTGTCATCATTTCCTGACAAATTTTGGATCATAGAAGACAAAAACACTTGTACACTGAAATGTCGTCGATGGTTTCGAGATAGTTTAAATCATATATGTACCACATGTCAATCCCATTTGATTTGACTACATAGCAGAATTGGAACAATAGAAAGATGAGTTTTGGGTCTCCGTACTCCGTGTAAGATGGAAGTTTCAAGCCTTTGTACGTTGCATCGTCGCCTTCTCAACATAATCTAATTGCATTTGTATCGCGTTCACAAAGTGGAAGAAGGATAAAGATCGACGTTTTGGATCTCTGTAAGCCGCGGTCTCATCGGTGCCTACTCCACAAGCTCTAATCGTGACTGTATCGCTAAGGGAAGTTTCAAGTTTCAGTAAGCCATGATCCCGCCTTTGCCTTTTCCACCAATTCTCTCTTTTATGATGGAGGCATGAGATAGGAGATTTGGATCTTTGCCATGAGCCCGTTGTTCCTTTCTAGGTTTGATCGCGACTCTATCGCATAGATGGACATGGAAGGAGAAGAAAGATGGGAGATTCGAGTCTCTGCTGTGAGCGGTAGGTTCGACGCGTAATTATTTTCAGGTCGCAATTCTTTCTTCTTGCTAGATTGAAACGCTTTGATAAAACTGTGATACGAGTCTACACAAACATTGGCACGATTTTTCACAGAAATTAAGGTAAACTAATATTTTTTTTCACTAACACAAAATCAAAGCAATATAACATGAATACATAAAGGATGAAGACCTACAATTTGAGAGGTAGTTGATCTCTTCCACTTCCTGCAATTTGAGAGGTAGGAAATCTCTCACGAACCCTAACCCTAAGGCTCCAAGACAACAATTCTCATGTATAACCATAACCCTAGGCTATTAAGCTCTATTTATACCCAACAACAAAAATAATAAAAGAACAAATTGCTCTTTAGGCTAATATAAGCCAAAATTGTCTTTAGGTCGATGTGTAAGAGTATCTTGAATCTATTATATATAATAATAGAGATTTTGATAATAATATAACTTTTGGAGTTAGGTTTGACAATTAAAATGAAGTGCCTTAGGAGTTTTGTATGACTGAAAGATATCATCGAGTTTTAAAGAAATTTCAAAATCACAAGTGATTCAATGATGTTTTATGAGTTTGAATGTTAGGTTGTAAAAATAAATCATTGATATCTAATTTGAGTGCAGCATAAATGATAATGCTATGTTTAATTTGTTGCAAAACTAGGAACTATATATGAAAAAATAATTATATTAGAGGAAATATTGGAGTGACATCTACTGAAGAAAATATGACTAAATATAAACTTGAGTGGCCATGACATTTACAAGAAATGGTAGAAAATGTGCCTATTAGAGAAGTTGATATTTTAATGTTGAAGAATTATGAAAAACATAGGTACATTTAAGGCTACATGGATACAAGTTGCTCAAGCTTATTTGCAAATAATAGATTTTAACTCAACAAATGACACTTAACACAAATGAATGAAAAATAAGAATTTATAATGCTTTGAACCCAAATAGTTGGGAGATTGCTGCTGATGATGATGATGAGAAGATAATAGCTTTTTTCATGCATTAAATACATAGCACACCATTCTTATGTATTTACACATCTCACATCTAAACATTCGTATTTACATTCATAGCACTCAGATCTTTAATGTCACATGAAAAACATTATTACCACTTTTTAAAGGTGAAATACACATTTTCATGTAAAATTTAAAGCATCAAAGATTTAGATGCGAGATATGTAAATAAATAAGTATTGTGTGCTAGATATGTAAATTTCCCAATTTTCTTAGTATGGATTGGATTTCATTAGGTTCGCAGTTAAGGCTTTCTTGTTATTGCCAAGGGAATTTGACATGATACTCAGTATCATACTTATTGAAGAGCCACTATGCAGGCTAGTAAAGAAGCCATGCACTTTACCCTTCGCCTACTCATTTAACAATATGAGAGTAAGCACTTGTTGAATGGGAACCTACGAAAGGCATCTTTTCTATATAAGGTGTTTCGCTTTAGTTATTTAAATTTTATTTTTTTGGACAACTTGTTAAACATATTGGTGTCATACATACTAAAAGGTACAAATTAATGCAAAAAATTAACTTAGTTTGTATTGTAATGTTTCTTTAATGTTAAACGCCCTTTTCAAGATAGAAATGAGCCTTGCCTCTTTTGAGATTTTAATCCTTGTTGCCCTTCACCTGAATAAGCATGCCTACAACCAGGAGATATTTTAAGGTCCTAATTCACTATAATGAACTGACTAACATGCAGTGGGTCCATAATTATGCCAATTAGAAGAGGAAGCACAATGGTTTTATTCAAATTTTTATGGCAATGCTTTTATGCATTTGAAATCTAGTCAACAATCAAGAAATTCCAACTCGGGAATTTTTCTTATTCATGCAAGTTCTGGCAAATGATAATATATGCCTTTTTTAAAATTATTCTTTTTCCTGTTAATATTTAGGTGGTAGGAAATGGTTTAACAAACCCTCTAGGGATCAATGGATGCTGGTGTAAGTAATGCGGTCTTTTTTCTATACATTTATTTCAAATTAAAATGAGAAATCTTGCTAGATAATATAAATCTGATTATATTTCTATTTCATTAAGGTTAATATTTTAGTTATTTAAGAAATTTGGTAATATTACAGTACAAATTACTTTTAAAAAGTAATTCCAAGTTTTGAGTGACAAGTGCAACCGGTGTATTGTGGAGGAGCTATAATGTGTTCTTCTTACCGTTTGATGTACTGTATCTATATTGAATGTTTTGTTAATTTATTATGTTCATTTCAATGGTTATTTCTCGAGCTGTTTACCCATAACAATGCAGTTTTAATAGGACTCCCAAGTTGGGTTTGATAAGAATATGGTCTCCTTTATTCCTTCTACTTGAAAGTACCTGGATGGTCGCATTAATGAAGAAGATTTCTTTGCAGAAATATTCTTGGGTGACATTTTAATTAAGCTATAGTACTAAGTACGGTTTATACTTTGGCAGGATGTCATACAAAGTCTTCGCTTCTGGAAAGTTATTGCTTCCATATTTACCTTCTCATCAACTCCAGAATTAATATTTGGACTTTATTTGCTGTATTACTTCAGATTATTTGAGAGGCAGATAGGATCTAACAAATACTCGGTATGTTCTTTTGACAAAATTCCTTAACTGGAAAAAGGAAACACTACTTTTTAAATATTTCTAACGTTCCCATGTCTAGATGCAAAGATCCCTCTTCTGTGCTCCTCCTTTTTTTACACCTTTTGATTGGAAGGGCAGTACTTATGAGAGGCCTCTCTCTCTCTCTCTCTCTCTCTCTCTCTCTCTCATCCTTGCCACTCTGACCCCTCTCTCTGTTAGTGCATTGATTTGACATTCCAATGGAATTGGGGTTTCAAATTCCTGATTCATATATTGAATTTTCTTTTTGAGCTTGTTTCTAAGTTTATGCCCGTAAATGCACAGGTTTTTGTTTTGTTCTCTTTGTTGGCATCAATTTTATTTGAGGTTCTATCCTTGATGGTTCATAAAGGTATGTAGTCAGAACTCTGTTTGTCCCCATCTTATTCTATTTTGGTATACTTTGTTAAAAGGAACTAGAGGGAATGCAAGTGTATTTTTTCTTCAATATTTCATATCTAATGTTTGATTTCATTGTAATTAATTGGTAATTAGATTTACTTTGGGCATCTAAAATTGTATTTTTTCATTGACAAATCCCAACAGGAAACAAAAACGCAATTTCTGATTTACTAAACAAAAAAGAAAATTATTTTTTCATCCAATCCTCACCATCCTAAGTGTGGAGGAAAATTAATTTCAATTCCATTATTTGACCATTCCCATTTTCTGTTCTTTTTCAATTTTTTTTCTTTCAATTCCCATTAACCAAATAGGGTAAGGATTGATTATATATCTAAAAATATGATTTGGCATATGTGAAGATTTTGTAAATTCGAGGTCACATGTTGTAACTAATAGTTTTAGAGTTAATAAACCAAAACAAAAAAATTATAGAGGTCAGGGGTGTAATTGAGTCTTCTTTTAACTAGATGTGACTTTGTGTTCAGATGGTTCAAATTTTGTGTATCTTGAATTTGGCTTGTGTTTGAACTTTGAAATTGTTCGTAGAGATTATGTTCATTTTTGACTCATTTAAACTCCAATAGCTTGACTTCAGGTCAAATTTGGTTGTCTTCTAAGATATTAAGATATAATTGCATCATTCATTTAGCAAATTAATAAATTTTAAAAATACAAAATTATTTATGTATGTCTGTTTATGAGCTAATGACGATCCAATTACCATTCAACAAGGCTTTGTTTCTGTTCAACTCACTAAGAAAATGAGCTCGAAATAGTATCTTAAGATCAACTCACTTAACAAATAAGTTGAACATTAGCTTCTTAGTGACCCGAGCACTAGTTGTATGCGAACGACAAGGTTTTTTAACTATGCTAGGTGTATGGCCTCATTGTCACTTGGCTCATCGATCACAACATAAAATCACATGACATTCTTTGACTGATAGAAACTAGGTTTGGAAGAGATGCACGTAAGGCAAAAGCTTATCTTTTTGGCATGGTTTTTTTTCAATGATTTAGATTATTAGAAGTTTGCTTCAGGCACAAGACAGTTTGAAGCCCCAAATCCTTGCTTCGCTTTGCACTCTCATGTCCACTATACGCGGAGCACGCACTTCACACGTGAAGTGCGGTTCCAAGCACCGAAGCGATGGAGATGATGCAAGATCTGTCTGGTTCAGTAGCAAGAGAAAATAAAAACTGATTTGAAGGGTTCAATTCTTCAGTTTAGAGCGCAACTATGTAAAAAAATTGAGAGAATGCAAGGGAGCAGTGTGGAGCAACTTTCTTTGATCTCGTGTTGGAGAGGAACGAGCTTTGACTGATGCAACTTCATTGCCATTCTTGTTGAATTGAGAGGAGCCAATGCCGCTTCAACTGCAGGACTCGTTGTTGTCGCTTTGCCACTGTTTAATGTCACTTTGCTTCTATCTGGTCGCAGGTTACCCATAAAATATTCGAAGCAGCCCGTTTGACATAAAGGAACTATTCAACTTAATATATTTAGTATCATAATATTTAAATAATGTAAAAATATTTTTTATATAAAATAATAATAATTTTTTGCTTTCATATTTGTATTTGCATAACTTTTATTGGGCATTTGCATTCATACCACATGAATCTCATGTATTTATGTAATAAATGAATTTTAAAATAATAGTAAATAAAAAAATAAATAGATAAATAATAAGTACCGACGATTAGAGAAGACATATCCCCTCGTATGAAACCTATTGTACACTTCTTTCACACGTCTACTCATTTGGACCAATGAAACCCAAAACGAGTGAGTGAGAGGGAGAGCAGAGAAAGTGAGAGAAGAAGAATCTTAGAAGGAAGAAGGGAGGAGGGTTAATTCTAGCCCTCATTTTTCGGATTGTCTTTGAGAGAAGTCGAAGGGAAGGAAGATAGGGCAGCTCGCGTACGTGGTTTAGAGCAAATACCCTTGAAGTGAAGAAGATATGACCAAGGAGTTCTTATGCGTGAAGGGAGAAGAAGAGGTATGGGATTATTTGTTTATAGGGTTGACACCACAACTGGTGTATCGGTGTAGGAGACGAGCAAGAGTGAGCGCTTGTGCGTCTCGTGAGAGAAAGAAGGGTCTCGCTTGCTCTATTGGGTTGAGCTGAGCCCGAAGGAGGAAGAAAAGGGCCTTCGTGCATCCAAGGGAGTCGAACTCGTTGCCAGAGGAAGATGACCACAGAATAGAGCTCGTGCAATGCTGAGTTGAAGGAAGGGCCAAAGGGTTTAAAAGATAAATCTTGAGATTTTAATTAAGTTAATTAATCAAATGTCATATACATAGTTTTTTATTTAAGTAAGGTTAAAATAAAGTTTATCTAATATGACGAGGAAATTGGCAGAAGGAAGATTCAATTCAAGCTCGAGGGACGAATCACTTTGAAAGATAAGGCATGCTTTAATAAAAATCAAAGTTTAATTTACTTAATTTGAATTTTTTTTTTACTTAATTTGGAATTAATATTCAATAAAATGTTAATGTTTAATAACAGTTTAAGTTGAAGAACATTTGAATCTAGAAGGTTATAGATTAGAGAATTAGTGTGACAAACAAGCTAAGCAAGGGAGTAATTATTTTCTTATATGTATTAAGCTAATGCTTATTTAATAAACAATTTTTGTAATGCTTTAAATAGTTATTTTATAATTATATGTATTTTGTGGCCTGAAAATTTAAATAAATGAAATGGGAAAAAAGAAGAATGACTATTCAATGTCTTTAAAGGAGGCAATTTAAAGGAAATGAAGTGTAAAAGTTTAAGTTATATAGGGTTAGCTTCATATAGTACTAACATGGGATGTGGTGTATCTGTGCACCATAAAAAAAAAAAAAACGGTAAAGCTGTAACTTCTTGTACAATTATTTGAGGGTACATTCGGGTAAATTTACTAGGTTGTCTTCAATATGACAATGATCTTGTTATAACTCTTAAAGTTGTTAAAAAGGGTAAAGATTTAAACTGAAATAGGAAGGGATAAATTTAAAGTGAAAGTTTGAAATTTTATAAGGTAATGAATTGTATTTTCTTTTGGTCCTTCATGCATAATGTTGATATAATAATTTAATGCATATTAATTTTATAATTGTTCACTAAGTCAAACTTACTGTTGAAATTAGTAGTTTCTTTTAGAAGACAAATGTTAGGTTGATGTTTGCTAGGAGAGATTTGGTTTACAGAAGGACTACAGCTGATAGGTACCAGTTTATGATGTGATTGTAGTTATCTTTTATTGTTTATTTCTTTGTAGAGACACTTTATATGTTGGCTTCAGATGTCTATAAACCGTTATTATTTTTGGATGTTTCGTTTTTATGTGTTTTGTAATTATGGATTATTAGTTACTCTTTTATAAATTGGAAGGTTTAAATTAATACCATTCAATCGTAATTCCCGACTTAGTTAATTTCAAGCTACTAGATCGGGTCGTGACAATTTATATATCAAACAACTAAATTGTCATATTTAAATGCATCACTCAAGTTTTTAGAGGATGAAGATTTGAATTTAGATAACTCATTCAGTTTGAACTGATTGGATTGATTATGTATATTGTCGAGATGTGACTGAGATGGAAACAAAGTTGTGAGAATTAATTCTAATTTCCTTAATTAAGGAAATTAAAATTAATTGGTAAATCCCTTAAATTAAGGAAATTAAAATAAATTTGTAATCCCTTAAATTAAGGAAATTAAAATAAATTTGTAATCCCTTAAATTAAGGAAATTAAAATAAATTTGTAATCCCTTAAATTAAGGAAATTAAAATAAATTTGTAATCCCTTAAATTAAGGGAAATAGTTAAATAGTTTCCTAGTTTTTTTTCTTTTAATCTCCTATATAATACATTGTATGATCAATTCAAGAGAAGAAGAGAAATACAAATTATTTCTTTGATTTCCCACATGGTATCAGAGACCAGGCTGAAACCCTAGAGGACACCGCCTGTTGCCGCGCTTCTCCAACTCTTCCTCGCGTTCCTTCCGAGCACGGGCTGCTTCGGTCCCTCTGCCTCGATCCAGTAGCGGTTCCAAAAAAGAAATTGTTCTTTGCTGAGCACGAGCGACTCTTTTGAGCACGAGCACGGGCGACGAGCACGGCTAAAAATCTCTCTTTGCCGAGCACGAGCGACTCTTCCTCCTGAGCACGGGATTCCAGTAGCGACTCCCGCTTCGTCCGAGAGGAGCAGCACGTTGTCACGAGGAAGATCGTCCTTTGCCGCTGCAATCCTGTGCCGGAGATCTCGCGATCTTTGCCGCTCTTTGGATTTTTTTTTATTAGCCGCCTTAATTGCCGCGATTCTTTTACCACTGCAGGTTGATTTCTAGCCTTAATTGCTGCAAATTTTTCTTCTCCACCATGTCAATGTCCGAAACCACTATCTCCAACTACTCCAACTACTCCAACAATTCTGAAGAATACAATGTTGTTCAGAAAATTGGAGAGTTGCAGAATATTCGGGCATCCAATAGGTTCAATGGGAAGAACTATCTCAAATGGTCCCAAATTGTCCGCACATACCTAAAAGGCAAAGGGAGGATTAATCACCTACTTGGAACCAGACCAGAAAAAAGGGATCCAGCCTCTACAGCATGGGAAGAGGAGGATTCCATGATTATGTCCTGGCTATGGGATTCTATGGACCCAACGATCAGTGACACTTGCATGTTCTTGAACACCGCAAAGGAAATCTGGGACTATATCAACCGCACATACTCGAAAGCCCGCGATGCTGCCCTTGTGTATGAAATCAAGGAAAAAACCGAAGCAACCAAACAAGGAGACAAATCTGAGTACGCAACTCTATTGCAGAATCTGTTGCAGGAACTGAATCACTATCATGTAATTGAGATGAAATGCCCTGATGATGCTGCCACCTTGAAGAAGTTCATTGAGAAGGATCGAATATATGATTTTTTGGCAGG